TATGTTCTTTGGCGCAATTCCACCCATTGCATGCATGAATGCATTAAAAAACCACACAAAGTTACCAGATAGTTCGTTTTGAACAAACTCACAACCAAACTGGATTGACTGCCCATGGTTATTAATGCCAATGAAGGGCGCACAGGGCATTTTGTACATGTTTGTCATGTATGTTGTGTCGAATGAGATGACATCATTGTATCTAGCATATGACCTGCGCGACGCACCATCTATCTAGAATAAATTTTCCACTCTGTCCTCATCATCAAGCTTTATTCTCCAATAGAAATCTGGATCTTGTGCCTTCATATCTTGGAAGTACGAGATTGTGCTCCCCACATCAGCATGGCGGTACTCCATCCGGAATTTAGCTCGCTGGTTTGTGATGTCCTTTGTTGTGTATGGTACATCTTTAGGAGACCCGTAGAACCATGACATTAGTTGCATCTGTCTTGCTGTCTCTATGTTGCATCTGTGCAATATCTTCAAGAAGTCCTGCTCATCTTTTGGAATGTTCCTATGTGATGATAGGAACTTTGTCAAGGACGGCTTTCTTATCAGAGGGTGGTTGTGGTCGTCGTTGAAGCGTTTGACTCTCCACCTCACCACCTTCCCTCTTTTCCTCTTCTTCACGATGCCTTTTGGGTCCTTCACATCCTATGCCTCCTCCTTGTTTGTTTTTGGCTTGCTGTATTTCCCACAAACCAAGAGGACTCTGCTTACAGTATCGTCTTTAACTGTTTTCCTGTATTCTAGTCTCACTAGTAGAAGGCTCGTGCATTGCCACGGGCATTTCTGTATTTTTGTTGGTTGCATATATAAATATAATGCATGTCAAATTTATGCATGTATAGAAAAGATGACCAATACAATCAGAAAATAAATAAAATTTACTTCACTTGCAATGTATAAGTTGACAAAAATTACAATATGGTGATTTATACATAGGGAGCAATGATTCAACTAATTATCTGTTACAAACTAAAATCTACTTGATGCGTTTAAGATATCCCCGTATGACGTTAGGAATGGTTGTCTTTAGCTTCATTTGCATGGTTCTAACACGTAAGGTTATGATAATTCAATATATGTTTATGATAATTTACACACAATTGTAGATCCATAAAGTGTATAGGAGGGTCTAGAACCAAGAAGACCTCATCGCATCCAAGCATCCATATGGCCATGTTGAAACAAATCCAAAGAGTGCTCCCTGTTAAGTAGGGTTTAGGGTTAGGCCTACCAATTGTAGGGTTTAGGGTTAGGCCTACCTATTGTAGGGTTTAGGGTTTAGTATATCATCAAAAGAAATCAAAAAATTGCTTTAGTATATCGTCCACACGATTAACAAGCCTACATGTAGGAGTGGACTAATAAAGATTTTTTTATCAATTTTGCTTTCTCAAGAGTTCATGTAACATAATAAGTTTGTGTTGATGAATATATAAACTTAATTTTTGAGTTTGACAAGTGTTTACCCATCAGTTTGCATTTGATTTATGAATCTATTTTACACGGACCAGTATGTAACATTGAGATCACTTGTTGGTGATTATTCTCAAGAAATTACTTGGGGCATGTGATAGTTTCATTAAACAAAAAAGTATGTGGCAACTCTCACAGCAAACAACCACTTTTCCCTTACACATACACACAATAAAAACAACTATACCTTTATTCCAAAAAACCAAACGCACATTTCTCGACATTCATTTTGTTCCTTAGCAATTTCCCCCGACCCACGCGTTGCCTAGCTCTGGCGGCTCGAGGGAAACCTAGCCGTGTCGTCGTCCCTTCCCCTCGCTAGCTCCTCCCTTGACCGCTACCGCCAGACCATGTCGCAGTGGCAGCGAACCCCATTCCCACAGGGGATGGGGATCGCCGGTCGTCCTTGCACGGCGGAGCATGTCTGCCAGGGCAGCAGGCCTGGGCTAGTGATGGGGGCACTCTACGACATGGCGGCGGTGCATTGCATGCCTGCTTGCAGTGGTTACGATGCGGTGGCAGGGATTCATCTCGCGCATTGGTGCTGTTCACGGCAGGGGAGGCGTCGGCCCTTCCCAATATGTGTGACGTGGGCTTTGGCTGCGCATTTTCCCGTCCCTGCGACGTGATTCCGGTGGCTGGGGGCTTGGGTTGAAGCTCTGCTAGGTTTGCATCAGTGGTGACCGCTGCTTCTGTTGGCGGCTCGCCCGCTTGGTGCGATTGTGTGGCAGCCCACCCTCCTGGCTCTCTGGTATTGTGCATCGCATCGCCTTCAGTTTTCTTCGGTGTCTTGGCTTGGGAGACTGCCAAAACGGTCCGTCCTCGGGCGGATCTAGCTCGCTAGTTCTTTCCGACTGGCGGCGAGGATTGTGGTAGCTCCTACATGGTCAGGGTGTGGTGGATCCATGTGAGGTGTGTGGTCCAGCGGAGGTGCTGTGCGTGGGGGTGTGGGTTTGGGTGGTGCTCCGGGCGAAAGCTTGTCGGGCTCTTGCTGGCTGACGGCGTCGGCGTCTGTGGACGTCGTTTCATGTCCTTGGAGATGCCACTGTGGATTCCACCCTTTGCGCACCCTTGGATCCAGTTCATCGGGCAAAAGCCTAAGGCCTGGTCAGGTCGGACGACCGACATCGCCGCTTCCCTCTTTGGGCCGTCGCCTGGAAGAACTTTGGATCCCGTTTGTGCGCTCCATGGGCTGGATGTTCGCCATTACGGTCGGCAGGTGCCCGTTCAACAATGTTTTTGATCTCCCTATTAAGTAGGGTTTAGGGTTAGGCCTACCAATTGTAGGGTTTAGGGTTAGGCCTACCTATTGTAGGGTTTAGGGTTTAGTATATCATCAAAAGAAATCAAAAAATTGCTTTAGTATATCATCCACACGATTAACAAGCCTACATGTAGGAGTGGACTAATAAAGATTTTTTTATCAATTTTGCTTTCTCAAGAGTTCATGTAACATAATAAGTTTGTGTTGATGAATATATAAACTTAATTTTTGAGATTGACAAGTGTTTACCCATCAGTTTGCATTTGATTTATGAATCTATTTTACACGGACCAGTATGTAACATTGAGATCACTTGTTGGTGATTATTCTCAAGAAATTACTTGGGGCATGTGATATTTTCATTAAATAAAAAAGTATGTGGCAACTCTCATAGCAAACAGCCACTTTTCCCTTACACATACACACAATAAAAACAACTATACCTTTATTCCAAAAAACCAAACGCACATTTCTCGACATTCATTTTTTCCTCAGCAATTTCCCCGACCCACGCATTGCCTAGCTCTGGCGGCTCGAGGGAAACCTAGCTGTGCCGTCGTCCCTTCCCCTCGCTGGCTCCTCCCTTGACCGCTACCGCCAGACCATGTCGCAGTGGCGGCGAACCCCATTCCCACAGGGGATGGGGATCGCCGATCGTCCTTGCACGACGGAGCATGTCTGCCGGGGCAGCAGGCCTGGGCTAGTGATGGGGGCACTCTACGGCGTGGCGGCGGTGCATTGCACGCCTGCTTGTAGTGGTTACAATGCGGTGGCAGGGATTCATCTCGCGCATTGGTGCTATTCACGGCAGGGGAAGCGTCGGCCCTTCCCAATATGTGTGGCATGAGCTTTGGCTGCGCATTTGCTTGTCCCTGCAACGCGATTCCGGTGGCTGGGGGCTTGGGTTGAAGCTCTGCTAGGTTTGCATCAGTGGTGACCGCTGCTTCTGTTGGCGGCTCGCCCGCTTGGTGCGATTGTGTGGCAGCCCACCCTCCTGGCTCTCTGGTATTGTGCATCGCGTCGCCTTCAGTTTTCTTCGGTGTCTTGGCTCGGGAGACTGCCAAAACGGTCCGTCCTCGGGCGGATCTAGCTCGCTAGTTCTTTCCGACTGGCGGCGAGGATTGTGGTAGCTCCTACATGGTCAGGGTGTGGTGGCTCCATGTGAGGTGTGTGGTCCAGCGGAGGTGCTGTGCGTGGGGGTGTGGGTTTGGGTGGTGCTCCGGGCGAAAGCTTGTCGGGCTCTTGCTGGCTGACGGCGTCGGCGTCTGTGGACGTCGTTTCATGTCCTTGGAGACGCCATTGTGGATTCCACCCTTTGCGCACCGTTGGATCCAGTTCATCGGGCAAAAGCCTAAGGCCTGGTCAGGTCGGACGACGATGTCGGCATCACCGCTTCCCTCTTTGGGCCATCGCCTGGAAGAACTTTGGATCCCGTTTGTGCGCTCCATGGGCTGGACGTTCGCCATTACGGTCGGCAGGTGCCCGTTCAACAATGTTTTTGATCTGCGAGGCTTCTTTTCTGTGGCAATGATGGCGGCTTCGGGCAGAGATGGCTTGCTGATGGTGTTGGTAGTTGGTCTCTTTCGGCGTGTTCGAGGGGTCGCCGTGCCTTGCTTTGTCTTCCTAAAGTCGGAGCTGCTGAGGAGGGGCCATTGCGGTGACGATGACACGAGACAGGTGGTCGGCTTTGTGGCTGGCTCGACGCAAACCCAACGCTTTTCTCCCACAATGCTCATCGACAGAGTCAGAGCTGCTTGGTCGCCGGCGCAGGTGGGTGACTGTTTGGCATCAACCGCCGCAAGCCTTGACGCTTGTTTGCAGTGAGGGCTTCTTTGGTGGTCGTCGATTGTGGAGTTGGAGTCACCCTCAGGGAGGGGTGATGACGGTGATGTTGAGCTGCAACCTCGACGACACTTTTTTCTTGTATGTTCTTGTGCGAGTTGTCGGGTCGCCTCATGCGGCTTGTTTTTGTGGGTGTGATATGTGACGTTTTTAATCCTTTTTTGTTAATTAAGCAAGTAATTCTCTTTGACCTTTTTAATGAATCGGACCTAAGGACCGCGTTAAAAAAACACGCTCCTTTTCTTCTTATTATCTTGGAAAAAATATCACTCTCTCACTGCACGGTCACGACACAAGCCTTCACTCTCTCCCTGCAAGGCGGCGGCGCTGCCATCTCTCCTTATCTCCCCGCCACAGCGTGGCCGCCGCCATATCTCCCCTCATGGCTACTCCCAGCTGCCTCCCCTCCATGGCGTGTCAATCAACCCACACCCTTCTCTCACCGCCGCCTCCCATCCCCCATGGCGTCGCTCATCCCGTCCACTCCCCGCCACGGCGTTGCCAACACATCTGGCACGGCGAGCAGCGAGATCCGACCGGGAGGCGCAGAAGGCCTCATCGTTATCCGTTCGCAGAAGTCCACATAGCTGGCCCGTCCGGATTTGGGCGAGATGACCTCAGGCACGAGGTGTGGCTCGACGAGTTGGAGGGATGGCCCCCTGGTCGTCAGGCCCGGTCTTCTACTTCAGCCGAGACGCGCCGTCCATCTCCATAGCGGGGACATCCCAGGCAGCGGCGGAGTAGCCTCCAGGGAAAGCTGGACCGAGCACGAGCACGACAAGTAACTCGAGGCGCTGCAGCGGTGACCGATGAGTGTCCCCTCCCAATCCCATCCCCCCTCTGTAACTATAAGGGTTTCGTTCTGATTCATGTTGGTGACGGGGAAGTACACTTGCTCTTGCGCATTTGGTCTGCTAAATGTGAAGATTTTTCTGGTTTACATGCATTATCTGCTACCAGTTCGAGCATATACACAGTATGACATCCTAGCCCAAGAATCTAGTTCAAGCGATGCTGTAATCTTAAAGAATTGTACTCCCTCCGTAAACTAATATAAGAGCATTTAGATTACTATTTTAGTTATCTAAACACTCTTATATTAGTTTACAGAGGGAGTACTTGGTATTACAATAACTGAGTGTCTTACTGAATTCCTTGATCGAACTTGAAATTTTGGTGTGTCTCAGAATGATGCTCCTTCTGATGGACTGAATGATTTTACGGAATTTATTCTCATGTCTGTGCAGTGGGAGTCTTGTACACGAAGAAGTACTACAAATTGGCCAAGCACCAGTATTGGATGCGTCATATATCGGACTGATCAAACCCAACAGCCTCGTTCGGTTCAGGGGGATGGTTCAGGACATGCTCGGGGCGGGTTCTATGCCGACTCTTTAAAGGTACTGAAATGATTTTATTGATAGGCTGTGGTGAAGCTACAGCTCATGCTTCTTATGCTCATCTATAAAAAACATTGTTTGTGAAGGATGTGCTACCTGGAGGACAAAAAAGTTCACAGACTTCTCACCATTCTCGATGATGTACCCATGTGATTCACATCTCTGGGTGCGCCATCTCTGCCATTGCGTGCCTGTATGTTACTACATGCCTGACCACTTGTTTTTTTCACTTTCTTACCATTAGTGTAGTTCACCTGGAACTTATGAATAACTTCTTTAAGGTGCATAGGCAGAATTCTTGGATACTGGAGTCTCCCCCTGGACCTGTCTTTCGCCAGATGGCAAACTGGTTGACACCTGAAAAAAGAGATAAAAGGAAGAGGGATGGGGATGGTGATGTCAATGTAAGCTCTTGGCATGTTTGTTACAATAATGATTCTCAACAGTTTTGATGTCCACTAACCATCATTGTCATCTAATGCATTGCTTGCTATAGGTTTCATTGTCATCTAATCATTCTCAACAGTTTTTTTCACTTTCATGCAGTAAGAAACCAGTAAGAACCGAACTTAGTTTTCTACCATTGTGAAGGGCAAAGTTTAGGAAGCAACTTAATCTTTAAGCTCTCTAAATTTTCATTCCCCCATATGAAATTGTCTCATAATCTAGTTGTATTTTTTCCTGGATGCTATGCTTTCATCATAGGCCTTTTATTCTTTAGGTAAATTGGAGCTTTATCAAATTATGTATATAACGGGTGATCTTATCGGAAACATAATTTGAGAACTACTGTATAATTCATGTTTTTAGTTGCTGTTTTTTAGGGACAATTATTGAACGGTTTGTGCATAAATATCAGACCATCCAGCCTAACGCAGTGAAGTCACTGCCCTATTAGGAGTAGGAAAAAAATCAGTTATTCGACCACACAACTGAAGCCTGATTGTACTTCAGTTTACCATCAAATGGCCAGTTAGTAAGGTCTAGTAAGCAATCTAGGCAGACACATACAAAGTTAACATCAAGTGGTTGAGTTAGCAAGATCTAGCAAGCAATCTAGACACGTGACCTACATGGGAAAGAAGAAGACACGGTAGGAAAAGAAAGGCAGTGAGAACCTTTACCTAGACAAATTAGTTCGTTTGCCAGGCCATCGTTAGCTGGGCCAACCTTCGTCTTTCTCCTCCGAGCCAGCACCAAGATGCCCATCTCATCCTGGCCGAGGAACCGCGACCCCGGCAGCTCGCCACTGGCACCAAAACAGCATCTATCCGTCCTGCCAGCGCATGTCCCGACCATGTAGGCTGCAAGGGGCCTGACAAATAATTTTGTTCCACAAATTCTTGTGTAAACGAACAACACTGAACAAGGATCCCTACAATAGTGTTCCTAGATACCAAAAATGTTATGCTAAACATGCTACTGATTGTGCGAAACTCAAATACAATGCTTACCAACCAATCAATATGCCAAAGTAGTATTTTTTGCATTCCTTCAGGCCAACACAAATTCAGCCCAGGTTTGAAGCCATACGTGTAGTGTCTGAGTAAACCTTGTTGTAATATAAAAAGTGACTACACAAATGTCTTCTGCACAGTGGGATGTTGGTGCATCTGTTGCATCGTTGAAGTGGTTGGTGTACTGACTACTGAGTAGTGCCCAGGTTCTGTAGCTAGTCAACACCAATCATGAGGAACATATAACTTCATGATCCTCATGTACATCAGATAACTTTATCAACGGGCATATCTAGTCATCATTTAAGGACAGAATCAAGAAAGCAGAGGCAAATGCAAGGAGAGAACAAAACCATTACGTCATATTACTGGTCGAATATAACTGAAGCATAAATCTATTGTCGGGGATAGCTAGCTCCCAGTAAGCAAAGATGATATCAGTTGAAAGAATAACTGCTGCTGAAATAACATGTTTTCATGACCAATCTAATTTGCTTGTAACAAAAAAATCTATGTCTTATCTTATATAAGAAGAAAATCTACACCAGCAACCAACAGAACAGGGGAAGAATGGAAATTTCGTAGGAGAAATTGTGTTGGTCATTGCTATAGCTGCAAGTTGATGAACCTAAATATTCTCCAACTCAAGGGAGGCACCACCGTACATGTAAGCTATATAGTAACTATCTTCTCTGAACGGGCCGTCGTCATTTACCGTTTACACCATTTTCTAGTTGTTATTACATTTAGAAAAACCAAACTAATACTGAAAACACATATGATATTTAAAAAAATAACACATATGAAATTATGAACTAATTTAGAACATTTTTTCATAAGAAAAGGTAAAATAGAGTCATAGGCTATCATATTGTTGCAAGAACACTTTCTGGAAATCAAAATGAAATGAAATAATCATACATCAGTCTCCGCAAGTCTCACATAGACCATCTCATATATGCCAATTTCATGTCAAATAATGAGATCATCATCAAGATATATCTTCCTCATTACAGTGCAAAGTAATAGCCTACCCCAACTTGTTTGGGACTAAAGGCTTTGTTGTTGTTGTATTACAGTGCAAGGTAATCACAAATGGCTGTAAATCAATAGTAATTATGTATAAGCATGCATGAGATCAATACTCAGGCTGTAGTGGAAATTAGTGGTAAATCGATAAATAAAATCTGTATACGCATGAGAGAAAATTAGAAGTGCATCTAACCATAGCATGTGCAGGTCACATACCAATAATAGAATAGTTGGCATCGGGAGAATCCACCAGATCTTTAATCAACAGAAAGAAAGCGATCCTCATCCTCTAGTCGGCTGTCATCCTATAACCAGCACTCCATCGTGAATATCAATGCTTCCTTTCATATCCTTCCCAAACCTTCTTCTTTCACATTTTCTTGTAATGATTCCTTTGAACAAATATCTAACCACACATGCTTGTGCAAGTGCTGCTCGCATCATGTTCTCCTGGAATCTAATATGTAGGTCTAAATGTTCCATTACCAAAAAAACTGGACACTGAAGATTTGCATTACCAGTAGCTTACTTATTACTGACATTCATGTGGGATTGGAAGAAAATTCAATTTGCCTTTATTTTAGAAAAGGTTACCTAAATAGTCCTAGGAGACGCAGCGGCCACAGTCCAGGAGGTAGCGTCTATGTGTACTGGGCCTTTGGTGCACGACCGTGTCGGTTGGGGCCTCACATGCTACCCGGCACAGTCCTGCACTAACGAACTTTTGATGTTTCCCTCCTCCAAGGTTATGAACATGAGACAAAAGTTTTTTGTCTTCGACCACTAATCAAGTTTAGAACTGGTCCAACAATTTCGTGAGATCTGAAAGAAAAAGACATGATGCCACATGGAAATATCATGGCCACCGAAGTGTAGCACTTATGAGTTCATGAAACCACTTTCGTGAAGGAAAAGAAGAAGAATACTGCTGGCAGTACATGAAGTAGCAAGCATAATTCAAACAAATAGAGTCATGCTTAGAATTAGAGAGCAAAGATGACTTCAAGAATAAAAGCAAAAATTAACTCAGCAGTTCTCACATTAGCGGTGTTGTACCGCAACATGGATGCGGTGCGGAAAGGGATAGGTGCATCCAGCGCCAGCTAGAGGCGGACGGAAGTGAAAGGCACCATGGCATCAAAACAAGGGCTGAGAGGACAAGCGCATGCCTCCGCCTCATCACTGATCTTAGGCATCCCTGATTTCTCCATTACGCAACCAGGGATAAGTTCTGTCAAATTACAAATCACTATGGCTGGGAGCTGGTGTCACCATGGCTTATCCAAATCAAGCACTTAGTTCTTCTGGATTGGAAAGACAACAAACTGAATAATTAGTGCAGAATCACCCTGCAAATCAAACATGTTTCTTGTTTCTTCGTGCAACATAAGCCCTGCAAATCAAACATGTCATCAGCTAACTGAACAATTTCCACAAGCACTCTCCATGCCCTACAAATCAAACATGTCATCACATAGATTAGAACAAAATTTGGACTTGTTATTTTTGACACTGTAATACATTTAATCAAGTGATTTCTAGATAAATGTGGAATTAGGAAACAAAAACTTGACAGTGATTTAGGAAATTGCAAAACATTTGTGCAGCAATATTACCAACAATTCTGGTCCTTTTAGTATCTCCATACACACAAAAACGTAACAACATTATAGACGCTTCATGTGCAATGGAGATAGACAAATTGCCTCCTTTCATAAAGGTCCATTATGGGTGAGAAAATTTAAATGGAAGAAATTGAGGTTTTTGAGCTTAGAAAACATGATAAGGAAGCATTCGCATAAATATTTGCAGTAGAAATCATGTAT